TCCTCCCAGGCTCCAATGACTTTCGGAGTGGCCAATCTATGCTGATGTAGTGGGAATCTCTTGCACGATTATCCCGTTCACAGAGAATACAATATGTATCCAGTGTGCAGAACAAGCAAGAGAGCAACAACTTTCAATTCGCTACAAAGCAGCCACTGATGTTGGTCATAGTTCATGCACCTCAAAAGTTGTTTCATGTTGTCATACGTTTCCTTCCTACGGAGTGCATGATTAACCAGAATTGATGGCAAAACATTGCCGTTATGTAGCAAAAGAAGCTTTAAGACTTTTCTTCAATGAATCAATGAGCAGTCTTCACTCGCCTGGATTGTGAACAATGCTGAGGGCTGCCATCATACTATCAATGTTGTTGTAGGCTACAAGATCACCTTCCATGAAGAAGAAAGGAATAAGATCCTCTTGACAGTGATGGAACATGGAAACCTTAACATCACCTGCCAGGAGATTCCACTGGATCTCAACAGCTCTGACTTACTCTTGGGTAGTTCCAAATCCCTGACAAAGTCATTCAGTTCATCTTGTGTTATGAGGTGTGGTTCAGAATCGGAGGACAGGAGAAGATGTGGGTCCTGTGACACTGATGGTTCAGGACCAGAAGTTTCATCTTCTTCCTCTTCCTTGCCTGACTCAAGTGATAATGATTCTGGTGCATCAGGAATCAGCAGTCCTTCTCCATGGGGTACTGGGTATATAGCTGATGGAATGTTTGGTTAATCCACACTCCACTTTTTCTACTTTTGATACACCTTTCCCAACTGGAGTTACCATGCAGAAGTAACAATTGCTGGTATGATCTGTTGACTCTCTCTAAATCACCGGCACTGCAAAAGGCACTAGATTTCCTTTTTCTGTTCAACTATTGGCAAAGATCTGTTGCACAAGTGCTGCAACGTATGTGTGGGGCCCACTTCTTGTCCTCGTCTCCATTTTTGCAGCCAACATAAAGGCAACAGGCTTTCTTAACCATACGTAGTTATATGGCACTTTTGTGCTGCAAAAGTCATTTCACCATAAACACGGCCAAAGTTGTCTACACTGCTCACACAAGTACAAGGAATCTCTGCTCAGTTTGGCTGAACAGAAATGCACAGTTTGCTATCCTCTGAAGATGCCGGCCACAGAGACTGGCGAAACGTTAGGAAGAACCACCTTCAGAACACGGCCAAGAAGCCCGAAAAACCCACAACAACCAGAAATGCATCCCTTTGCAAAACCAAACACTAGCAAGTAAAAGACTGTGGCATTCACCCAGGTCATGAATATTCATATGCTATTTGCATAGACCAATGGGAGTGCTGGAGGGCGGGGTCACAAGTTATAAGAGACTCAGCAGGAGATAGACAGACATAGATAAGGTTTAGATAGGGTTTTGAGATGGAGAATTAGAGAGTTGAGAGAGTTTTGGAGTTCGGTCAGGAGAATGGTGGTGGAGGGTAGATAAAGGAGAATGTTTGTTTAAGAGTTAACAACATTGCTTGTTCTGTCAACAACTGTAGCAATAAACAATTTCTATTTGGTTCTTTTAAACTGACATATGGCCTGGACATATATCATTAATAATAAGTATTGTTGATGAAATCAACTGGTGGCAGCTGAAGGGCACGTAGCGTGAGCTTGGTGCCCTTGGTGAAACAATCAAGGGCGACGTGGAATCGCGACAGAGACAATGACACTATATGATTCCTAGGGCAGTCTGTTCAGCAGAAGGATGTAAGCTTCATTATCCATGACTTTTAGAAAGTAATCATCCATGACATCTAGGAATAACATGACACAATTCATATCATGTATGACGCAATATCAGCTTCAGATTGCATCATTCACTTTTATGCCTGAAAAGCAAGTACTGTGCAAATCCAGTCATAGATTTATTAATTGTTCCAGTCAAAGATGTATTTTAGTAATTTCTGGTTTGAACTGAGGTCCCTTCCCTTTATAACTCACTTATCCTCCACCATTCCCAAGTCAAGGGTTGTATACTGTGACCCAATAGCATATGTTGAAAACTACAGCTGATCAGCAATTTAAAACATCATTTTCATTCTCAGTGACACAGAATTAGTAAAGACTGACTAAATTTATTTCAGAAGCTATTTTAGCTCTTGTCATATACTTTGGCATTATACCATGGGAGGTAAAAAAACAAACAAAACAAAACACCTAGGTGAATAGCTTAGTCCTAGAACATCTGAGTTTCACAGTGAGTAACATTGTGTAATATCAACCTCAGCAGGATTTCAGCCACTGTAGTTTACAGTTAAATGAATACAGTGCAGGAGAGATAGACAGTGAAAGATTAAGCTGGGATGGATTACATAGCCTCTCCCGAGAACAGTTACAGGTGTACCTCGCTTTACAAAAACCTCGGTTTAATTTTCAGTTTACGAATAGAAAATAATGCCCAGTTTACTTTTTTTCTTTTTCTTTTTCTGCTGTACGAAAGAGTTTCCCTAGGACGCATTGCGCCTGGAGGTTTCTAGCGCCGCCCCTGTTCTTAGCGCAATCCGCATATCGGTTTACAAAATTTCCACATTACATAACGTCCCGGAGGATGCATTAATTTCGTAAACGGAGGTACACCTGTACTTCTAGAGAGGTACAGCTGTTCCCTGCTGCAGAGTTCTGATAACATCAAAGTAAAACAAATTCAAATTTATGCATTAATAAACTCATTAGTCCTTAAAACTACCACAAGACTTTTAATTCTTAAGGCAATGCTTTTAGAGACAGCTAAAGACCTGTCTCTGAAAGTGCTTTAAAAATCATTGGTTCCATACAGAGAAGATTTTTGCAGCTGCCGTTTTACTTCCAAGGTCTGAATATTACATAGGAAACATTCCCAAATGCCTGTAGTTTCTTTCGCTTCATATGAAGAAAAGAAATCATTTCACGAGTTTCCTTTTTGTGGTACTAGTTAATGTAACCCTCAAATAAGTGTTTTTTTAATCAACTGACATAAAGATCCATCGTAACAATACTAAGCCTCAGCCTGACTGTTAGCAGTCTCTCACTCTGCCAAGATTTGGAAACTATCCTTATTGTGATATCAGATATGACATCAGAATGTGATGTTAGCACAGCCTGGGCTCTCTGCATGGTAACAGCTGTGCTCAGGAGACTTCTTAGCAATCAAATAACCATCAGCCCCATCCTTTGGCAATTTGAATCTTTGATCCCACAGCCTTCATCTAAAGGTTTTAGTATGGTTTGGAATCAGTATTAAAAACAAGCAAATCCCAAAAGCTTTTCCGAAATATGACCTCCCCTCCCTTAAAAAAAAAAATGAAGACCTAGTGCTGCCATAATGCCTATGAATAAACCCTTCACCTAGGGGCGCGGTGCTCATCCTTGTTTCAAAGCCATAGAGCCAGCGTTTGTCCAAAGACAGTTTCTGTGGTCATGTGGCCAGCACGACTAGACACGGAACACCGTTACCTTCCCACCATGATGGTATCTATTTATCTACTCGCATTTACATGCTTTCGAACTGCTAGGTTGGCAGGAGCTGGGACAAGCGACGGGAGCTTACTCCATCGCGTGGATTCGATCTTAGGACTGCTGGTCTTCTGACCCTGCAGCACAGAGGCTTCTGAAGTTTAACCCACAATGCCACAACATCCCTCTAGATGTGCTGGGAAGCTAGGAAATAAAGAGGGGAGGTGTTACATACAGCACTGATGTTACCTGTCTGTCATGGGTTTGGAGGGAAAGTTCCAGCCTATGGGGAGTGGAAGGCGGGACATCAGGAGGAGGGGCTGTACTGTATATATATGTGGAGCGTGTGTGGAGAAGCTTAGAAGCTGGAGAAAGAGCTGAGAGAAGAAGCTTGCGTGGGAGTCTGTGTGTCAGACAGGGTACTACTGTGTGTCAGTCAGTACCAACCTGATAGGTTCAGGTGTCTGTATGGTTAGCCAGAACTGATAGGTTCAGGGTCTGTGCTTCAAGTTAAGTGTTCTGTGTGAACCAAACTGTGTGTATGTATGATTGAGACTAAGCCACGTTACTGTATCTTATTCATTTGATCATTTTATTTTCCCTGTGTGTTATGTAAATAAACCTTGTTCTTTTATTTGTTAAAAATCCATCCCTGGTCTGTGTGACTTCTTATAGGGAATGGTTGGTGGCAGCTTAGTGAGACTGTGGCATCCTCCAGTAGGTCTGGGGTTGTCACACATATGGCCTGGACATATATCATTAATAATAAGTATTGTTGATGAAATCAACTGGTGGCAGCTGAAGGGCACGTAGCGTGAGCTTGGTGCCCTTGGTGAAACAATCAAGGGCGATATGGAATCACGACAGAGACAATGACACTATATGATTCCTAGGGCAGTCTGTTCAGCAGAAGGATGTAAGCTTCATTATCCATGACTTTTAGAAAGTAATCATCCATGACATCTAGGAATAACATGACACAATTCATATCATGTATGACGCAATATCAGCTTCAGATTGCATCATTCACTTTTATGCCTGAAAAGCAAGTACTGTGCAAATCCAGTCATAGATTTATTAATTGTTCCAGTCAAAGATGTATTTTAGTAATTTCTGGTTTGAACTGAGGTCCCTTCCCTTTATAACTCACTTATCCTCCACCATTCCCAAGTCAAGGGTTGTATACTGGCCCAATAGCGTATCTTGAAAACTAGAGCCAATCAACAAATGTAAGCATGATTTTTCATTCTCAGTGACCCAGAATTAGTGAAGTTTGACTACATTTATTTTAGAAGCATTTTTGCTGTAGACCAGTATCCACAAAATTGATGAGTATTGATATACCATCCATGAATATGGATGTGGTTCTATGAATCACTTTAATACTATTTTCTCTACTTAAGTAGTACCATGGATACTCAGGGACATCAGTAATTCCAGTATAATATATAATAGGGAGCCTTATTTTTGATGCAAAAGGCACAAACACCTACTCAATTCTTTGTCCACGTCACATAAGAAATAAAAGGACCACAAACACCTACCCATTTCTTTGAGCTCCATGTTGAAAAGTTCCAGCCAGCACGCATCAATTTCATCCAGGTCATAGCGACTTACTCTTTGAGAGTACGTTCTGGTGACATCTAGACTGTCAGAGCTAGACAAGTTGCTTGGTGAGGTCTGCGGGGAAGAATGTTCTTGCAGTGGGATTATCCTAGGGAAGAAAACGTATGGACATATAAGGGTGATACAGAGCGGGAAGAGTTTGCTGTTCAAAGTATAGGTATAGGTATTTGTATCTTGAAATTAAGTTATGGACAAGTATCCACTGCAACACGAAAAGTAAAATAACTGGGTTGAATTACAGTGGGGTCTTGACTTAAGAACGGCTTGAGTTAAGAACATTTTGACTTAAGAACCACTCTCATAGGAAAATATTGACTTGACTTACATACTTAGATTTGAGTTAAGAACTGAAAAAAACCACGTGGGAGGCAGGGAAAGTGCAAAATTTGAACTTTCAGTTAACTGTTGGCCAGTGAAAAGGGTGCCTGTCTGCTTCCTCACTCCTCCCAGTGTTTAGAGAGTGGATTGGGAGACAGTCTTCAGACTGCCTGGTACTTGTACTGCCTGGACTGTATTTTCCCTGCCTTCCCTGAACCTTTCTTGACCTAAGAAAAAAAGAAACAAAATATCCCCCTCTAGTGGTCGAAGGCAGAATAGCAGCTTCCCATTAGTTTCTGTGGACGGAAGGGAGCAGATACGGATCAAATGGTTTTCAATGCATTCCTATGGGAAATGCAGATTTGACCTGAGAACTTTTTGACTTGAGAACCGCCTTCCAATACGGATTAAGTTCTCAAGTCAAGACCCCACTGTATCTCAGTGTCTGCGGGAACATTCCGAAGCAGAAGAAATTGGGGTTTCCTACACCATAAATATAAGAACTAGTTTGATGTAATGAATAGAGTAACAGATTAGAACTCAGGAGATCTGCATCAATGCCTGCTCAGCCATGGAAACTCACTGCGGTGGTGGTGTTGTTGTAATGCCTGCTCAGCCATGGAAACTCACTGCAGTGGTGGTGGTGGTGGGGGAAACTGGTAAAGCCACTCCTTAAATATCTCACATACCTTGAAAACCCTGTTACGGTCACTGTACGTTGGGTGTAACTTGATGACATTTAACACACAAACTATAAACATAAACTTTTTAAACTCTCAGTTTCTGCCAAAGAACATGGGAATCACAGGTTCGTTAAGCTGTTATAATTTAGTGAAGAGGATGCCTATCATGTTTAAGGAGCTATATCTGTTCCTTCAAAACCTTGCAGGTGTGATTCCTTTTTTTAAAAATTGGAAAAGCAATGCCTTGCACAAGGCACTATCTTTCATTTTACATGGCTGGAATGTCAAAAACGAAAATGATGTGGGGCATTGCCCATGACCAAAGCCAAACTAAAATGGTCTTAAAAGCAATGCTAACTTTTGACTCTTTGAAAGACAAGTATTTCTGAGATGTTGCCAAAGGAAACTGCATGCAGTTAATGGCTTGTTTCTGAAGTAGTGATTTTTGACCTTTTTGACAGGCAGCGGAGGCTTTTTGAAAGACCGAACACGAAGGGAATAAAGTATATACATACACAGGACTTGATAACAATTTAATAATCAACTATGTCAAGAAAAATGGCTTTGTGAATGATAAGAAAGGTTAAATCATCAACATGGAGGCAAAGGTTGAGTACATCACCCTCGAGCTTGTTGAAAAACTGCCCTGATTAAGTGATTCACATGGCAACCAGTCTCAACAGAGACCACCCCTACTACGAGAAGGGCTATGAACTATGCAGGCAGAATAAAATAAATTCTCTCTCACTTGGAGCAATATTTTATCAAAGTCAAAATATCAGGCAAAAAAAGAGAGAGAAACAATCTGCCTTTAGAAAGAAGTCCTTCCTTACCACATCGCAGGTCTTGGTCTTCAGCCCAAAGGGCTCTCTAGCTGCTGTACCAAAATGCAACTTCAGAATTTTCCTTGAGGTAACGAACGGCAAGATCATCTCAAGTACTAGCTAGAGGTTGAGGATGACCCAGTTCAAGCCAGACAGGAAATTCTAACAATGTCTCCAGAACAGTTAAAAACCAAAAAAAGAAACCTACATAATTGGGGATTTGATATCATTCAAGCTTGTTTCCTGAGACAGGCTGCTTCACTCCATCTTATCACAGGGCCAGCCCTACGGGCTACAAATAATCTACAAGGAGCAATTTGGATATGCTAGTAGCACCTTACCTCTAGTGTTGCACTGCTGAAAACAACCCCTGATAACTGATAATACTTTTCAGTACAGTACAGCCACAACAGCCTACTGTTTACAGTTTCTCTGTGGCTTAGAGGTGAAGAAGGAAGACACACATGCGGAGAGGACTATTTTACAAGCAGGTTCAGACTGAGAAGCCTTTCTGAAACAGCATTCCCCAAGAAGTATATAATTCATAAACATCTTTCCAGAATAAAAATGGAACAAAAGAACTTTCTTGGCTGGTCAAGAGAGTGGCGACATTACTGAAGGCTATTGTGATTTTCTGTTCTCATTTCTCTCTCAATGGGAGAAATGGTTTTACGGGTTCTTAGTTGAATGTTACTGTTTTTTTCAAAATGTTTCCTGTGGAGCACCAGGCTTCGTACCGACTCAAGCAACATGTTTGGTGCCTTGGATTTATGTTCCTGGAAAAACTTCCTTTTTTTTTTTTTTTTTGGTGAAGGGTCTGACTCATCTTCAGCATCTGAGCAACAGTCCAAATCAAATCAGGACTAGCATCCCAGAGGGCTTTGTTGCCTTTTGCCCTCCATTACAACAGACTTTCTGAGTCAGATCAAAGGCTGCCTGATAACCCAGCATTTCTGTTCCTGAGCTGTCAGTCGGTTGCCATTGTGAAGTATACAGAACAACTCTCGTCCTGCTCTCTTTCTACAGAATCTGGAACTCAAAAGGAGTGCCTCCCATTTGTTTTGGCTCATATCCATTGACAAGTCTTCCATGAATAGGCAACTATATTTAAAAGCCACCTACTTTGAACACCCAGTACGCGAAGGCTGTTAAATTATTTTTCCTCATTTGCTGCCTTCGCACTGTTGTTAATTTTATAAACCTCTTATCATATTCTCACCTTCCCTTCCTTTATTGTCTGCTTTCCAAGCTAGCACTCCACTTCCTGTAGAAGCCTTCCCTAGCACAGCATCCTTCAGGTTTGCAGGACTGCAACTTGCACCATGCGCCCAGTATTATTGGAGATGATGGGATTAGTTATCCAGTACTTCTAGAGGATGTCAGGTTTGAGAAGGCTGCTCTATACCATGCAGAGGAACCTGCACATGAGCTATTTCACTGCAGGTTTGCAAGCACTTCTTGGTAATGTACCTACTCTTGACCTGTGTCAGCCTGTTCTTCTACGCCTTCAGAGGCCATGGACTGAACAGGCTGGTCTGTGGAGAGCTGAGGTGGGGTTGGGGGTAAATGGGTGTACCTGCTTTGTAGAAATGAATTAGAAGCCCATCTTGTCACAGGCCATGGCTCTGTTCTTATAATTCTACAGCCTGTCTGCAACACCGCAAAGGTCCAAGTTGCCCACACAACAAACTGTGAGACACAGAACAACAAACTCCTTCTTTCCTCTGCAGTAAATGTAGGAGATGACCAATCCCTCAATGCATCCCTCACCATCTTCTGACCCCATGCTGTAGATATGCACTGCCATATTCAAGGCACAGAGACAGGCAGATCATGCCCTTCATGAGGTGAAAATAATTAGAAACAAATAATTGTCCTCAATAACTAAGGCATAATTATGTTGCATGAAGATTATAACCCTGCAAGAGATACCACACTGCTCAAGTGCCACCTCTTGCTGCAGCCTCACCTTGTGAATGTTGAGGTAAGAACAAAGTGAACGGGAGGAACACGTCAACAGTTTTCACAATTCAGATAGTAAGGAAAAGTATCTGTCTTAGTTACTTCTGAGAAATGGAAAAGTAAACAGTCACTTTTTAAAAATGAATTGTTCTGTCAACTAGCTATTGTGGATGATATTGGAATGAGGCAGGTAAGGTACTAATTTTATGTAAAACTCAGAGCCTTGCTCTGAGTTTATACTTTTACTTTATGGTGAGCAAAAGAGCTGCTGGAGGCAATCACTGTGAAGAGCTTATAGACCTGGATCCACAGATACTTTTAAATTTAGAAACACTTCCCTTCTGACAGCCCAGGAATTAAACCAGCGACCCCAATCCCAACCCCCCACAAGATGTGATTCTTTTATTTCCATTTTGCCAGCACTATCATAAGCCTGCCGGCAACAACCTCCCACATGTTTTGATTCTGAAATCAAACAAATAATTCTACCTACAGCTACATCTGCCTGCATCAATCTTATCATAATGTTTTCCTATGACACAAGAGGTTTTCTTTCCCCTGGAGCTTACTGAGGGTATCACTCAGAGTAATCACATGTATAAAACCACCACTTCAGAAGGAGGGAGGGGGGAGAAAGAGAACCATTCTGGATATATATAAACGCTATGAATGATAAATGAATACAAGCTGCCTGAGCTAAGGAAGCCAAGCTATTGAAGTTATGAAAGTCACTTATTTTGAGAACATCAGAAAGTGGACTGTTGTGGATAAGAAGACCACAGAAATCTGTTTCTCTGGCCCATAAAAGATAAGAACTGACAAATATGCTAGCTAAAGATAAAACTAAGTATTCTCCAAGTGCTGTCCACTTCTGCAATAGTCAGAAAAGCTCAGAGGTTTTGTGTTTTCTTTCAGAAAATAATTACTTACTTCCCTGCTATGCAGCATCTACATAGATGGGTAGTCAAAAACATTATCCCAGTTGCTTGTAACTGTTAATGGCATCATGGCATTCAAATCTGACATTCTGACACTGCAATTCACAAATGTACAGTACTTGACATACTCAACAGCATTACAAGCATACTGTATAGTAACAGCAAACTGATGTGCTAAGTTATGATGCCTAGCAGCTATCGAGAAAACAAGAAGGGAAGGCTTGGGGAGCCTCATTGTCTGCTGGAGAAGAAAAAGTCTAGGTGGTTCTAAAAGGCTCCCTACTCAAACAGCAGAATGAACACAGGACATGTTTTGTAGCCACATACAGCACACTTTGTTGGGGGAAAAGGGAATGTCAATGT